AAATGAAAGACGGGATTGACCATCGTAGATCACACCTACGGTGGAAAAAATGGCGGGAGGATAGGTAGGTCTGGAAGCAAAGAAATCGGACTCCTGTCGGAGATCCGATTTCCGCTGGGAAAGTAGATTCCCGACGTCCCGGTGGAGTGTCATCGAAAGCTGACACATCCTTTTCGTTTATTTTATTTTACTTTTTTTGGAGTTTTATGATTTGGGATGGGGGTAGGGGAGCAAGGCGAGGAATTCACCTTTACACTCTTAATAAAGCTCAAGTAGCAACGCGCTAGACTTGCCTGTGCGACCATGCGTTTTTGCGCTAAACTTAATGCATTCAGACCGTTAACAGTATGAATGGTTGTTGCTCTACAGTTTAACATGTATAACACATGTGCCTGTTTTGGTCTTTTCTTACATGTGAGGGAAAAAGACACTGGTTGAGACAGTGGTGTTGCATAATGGTTCCCCTCGTTACTGAGTTGAAAGTGTGTGACAAAGTTCACTCATTTCTTAGCACACACATAAGCATTCTTTCGAAATTATGCGTTTTACGTTTGCATAACACGCAAAAACGCATAAAAGCAGACAAGTTTTCATCAGGTTTGTTCATCCAGTAAAAAAAAGCAACAGCAGTTTAATGTGAGCTTTGGGCTTAAACTTTTGACACAAGATTGCTGAAATCTAAATTTATATCACTGATACGCAGAGTTTCAAAGTATTTTCCAGATTATCGTCTGTTAGCGTCATGCGTATGTTAGTTTCATTTATTTTCATGAGAATGCAGAGGTGTGGTGGAATGCAAACTCCCGTTCGTTTAGTTAGGCACTACATTCCGATTCCCTCTGCAGGCCATATTAAAACCCATCCCGTGGTTCAAACCCTCTGTAATTTCCCACTTTGGCGACTCTCCCAAGTAGGGGGCAAGAGTGCATGTGTAATTTTGAAGAGTATCGCATTCGGAATGCGACTGAAATATTCGGAACCGCTGCTAGGGTAGTAAGTATTATTATCCATAGGCAATAATGCTGATGATATATTCGTAGTATTTATTGTCCATGAATTACAAACACGGTGGAAAAAAATGGCAGTACAAAAATGACGATCACATACATTTACCGTACGAGTTTCCCCTACAGTAACCGGCAGTACCGTATTCGTTCACTTACCGTATGCGCCTTTCCTACAGTAACTCTTCTAGCATAAATCGTACGTTAACACCATCGAACTGCATTAATCTATCCCAAAGGATATTGGTCACATCCACGACTTACTAAAACATCGAAAAATCACCATCAATACAAATGCCAAGTGCGGGAAAATGCAGTGCGAAAGGCTAAATGAAA